TGATGGTGATGACACTCCTCGTGATGAAAAGGTGTCCATGTCATTCCTTAATTGCTTAAGCCTGAATCAAGATTCAATTAAAAACATTGAGAGAAACGCGGTGCTTCAAATTCAATCCCTAGCTCAGAGATGGGCAAGGAGGCAAGGGAGGGGTTCTTTAGGAAATCAATTTTTTTGTTGTTTCCCAGGATATGAAGTTCCAGCAAATGAGTTTGAGCATCGAAGCGTGAATCCTTGGTTAAATTTAAAGATAGCTCCAAATGGGTGTAGTGGGAGCAGATTCTTGGCATTTGCTTTATGCTTTTTGGCTAATCTCTGGTTTGCAGACGGAGATGTAGATGTTGGATTTATATGTAAATACCAACTGACAGCTGCCAGTGGTGAAAAGTTCATGACAGAGAGTCGCGTTTCTTGGAGATGGGACTGGGGCGACATATACAGTCATCATGTGTGCATTGTGTTTAATAAGGATATGATTATAAGAGACAATGATTATGAGGAGGCATCATTTGAGATCTACAACAATGATCAACTTGGTAGACAATATGAAAGGATGAAATGGGGTGTTCATGTATTTTATGTGGATGCAGAGAGTTAGAGCATTAGTGATGTGATGAGTTGTGATATAAAAAAGAAGATTTTGCTATGTTGGTGGTGAACAAGGGGATGGAGGGACTGTTCACTTCTTTTAATCTTTGTTTGTGTATGCAGATGCAACTTCACAATATTGACATCCAAATGCATTGGTAAATTTCCAAATTGAAAACTTCTCTTACTTTGTGATTCTGATTACGGTCCTTAAGAATTTAATTGCTTCTGATGCCAGTAATGCATAAGTTATCACTATCAAATTGATAATAGACTAATTAGAAATTAAGACTTATATGTGAATTTTTATTTATTAAGGTTGTCATCTATAGTAACGACGGATCCAAAAATAATTTTAAAGATGAGGACATATATATTAACAACATCGTAAAATATTTGTGCATTATGGATACAAATGAAATTTCAAGATGGAATTGACCGATATAATAGATAATTAGTCGAAGAAAATTTAAATTTCAAGATGAACATCAAAGCGTGTATCTGTCGCTGTCCTTAAAATACATATGATGTATTTTTGATGATCAGTTTTATGGATGAATTCAAACAATCTTTCATATTTAATCTTTTGTTCTTGATAATATGATACGATATATTTTTAGTGATCAAGTTTTATATCATGTCAGAGTCCCATATGATGTACCTTTGAATCCTAAATTAATCATATATGATTTGGACTTCAAATATAGAGATATTATAAGAAAATGAAGCGTGGTTTATAAGTAAACTTCACAAAGCTCTTATATTTATAATAAGAGTTAATTGCATTACATGTCCTCGAAATATGACTTTTATTTCAAATTAGTCCCTAAACTTTTAAATATTTCAATTTCATTCCTAAACTATGATTTTCATACTAAATTAGTTCTTTAACTTCTGAATATTTTAATTTCATCCCCAAACTATGACATTATTCTAAATTGGTCCTCAAAGATTTTGCACATTCTAATTTCATCACAAACTATACGTATATATTGATCACAACCCTTGTTAATAAAATCGTTAGTCCAAGTTATATTATTATATGTAAAAAAAAATTAGGTTAAACCATGGTTGAAACTAATTACATAATTGGGTGAATTTGTGGATGAAATTGGAATATTCAAAAGTTTGGGGATCAATTTAAAAAGAGGGTAATAAGTTAGGGATGAAATTAGAATGATCAAAAGATTAAGGACTAATTTAGAATAAGAATAAACATTTAGGGATAAAATTGAAATATTGAAAAGTTTAAGGACCAATTTAAAATGAGTACTTTACAATTGAATCATTTTGCTCACTCGATCGTTTTCTCTCTAACAGTTGATGATGTGACATTTTTTATTATTATTATTTAATATAAACTAATTAAAAAAATAAAATAAAAACAGAAGGTGGCCGGATGCCACTGTTGGCCATCATCAACCACTGTAAATGGTGGTTGTTTTGTCCCAAAATGGGATGGGTCGCTTAACCTCGATACCTTGAGTCTGTATCCGACCTCCATTTTGTCAGAAATTATTTCAAAGTCCACGAATTTGAGATTGAAAGTGAGAAAATTGAAACATTTCAGACTAAATTGACGGGTTTTGGGACATTTTTTGGTGAAACAACCACATATTCGGACTCAGGGGTCGAGACGAACTGACTCATGAAATTTGAGACCGAACGGCCATCATATACGATGGTCGACGGTGGGCATAATAAAATTAACGTGGTGGCGGACAGAGAGAAAATAAAGAAGAGAAGGAAAAAGAGTAAATTACACCATGAGGATATGATTATAAGAGAGAATAATTATTATGAGACATCATTTCAGTTCTACATCAAAGGTCAACTTGGTAGAAATCGTTTTGGAGAAAAAATTACAGTGTTGGAACGTGGAGTTCATGTATTTTATGTGGATGCAGAGAGTAATAGCATTAGTGATGAGATGAGTTGTGATGCAAAAAGAAGATTTAGCTATGTTGGTGGTGAACAAGGGGATGGAGGGACTTTTCACTTCTTTTAATCTTTGTTTGTCTATGCAGATGCAATTTCGCAATATTGCCATCCAAATGCATTGGTAAATTTCCAAATTGAAAACTACCCTTTGTGATTCTAGTTAGGGTAAATATGCACCTTAAGAATTTAATTTCTTCTGATGCCTGTAATGCAGAAGTTATCACTATCAAAGTAATTGATAATAGACTAATTAGAAATTAAGACTAATGTGAAATTTTATTTATTAAGGTTGTGATCTATAGTAACGACGGATTCAAAAATAATTTTAAAGACGAGAATACATATATATTAACAACATCATAAAATATTTGTGCATGATGGACACAAATAAAATTCCAAGATGAAATTAATCAATATAATAGATAATTAATCGAAGAAAATTTAAATTTCAAGATGGACAATTAGACTTTTATCTGTCACTGTCCTTAAAATACATAAGATGTATCTTTGATGATCATTTTATGGATGAATTCAAACAGTCTTTCATATTTAATCTTTTGTTCTTATACTATGACACGATGTTTAATATGGCAACCTTTGAACCCTAAATCAAATTAATTTTATACGATTTGAACTTTACATATGAATGTCATCCTTTGACTTCAAATATTACAAGTCATTTTTTATTAGATCATTTATTAAATGATTAATCTAACGCTGATTGTGTGGAATTAAAATGAATCGTGCACCTAACCTATGAAATGTTGTTTGTTTTTCCTTTCTTTTTTATACTTCTTCATGTAATTAAATGTAGAAATATTATAAAATAATGAAGCGTAATTTATAAGTAAACATGACAACGATCTTATCTTTATAAAAACCTTTCTTCATAGAATTAAATGTAAAAATATTATAAAAAAAACAAGAGTAGTTTACCAAGTAAACTTGACAATGCTCTTATCTTTATAAAAACCCTTCTTCATAGAATTAAATGCAAAAATATTATTAAAAAATGAAACGTAGTTTACCAAGTAAACTTGACAATGCTCTTGTCTTTATAAAAACCTTTCTCCAATTAAATGTAGAGAGATATTATAAGAGTAAAGTACATAAATGAACATATAACTATAGGTTGGGTCGCGAAATGACTATCATTTCTAAATTTGCGTCAATATGACCACTGAGATATTTAAATGGTTTTGATATAGCCACCTGCCATTATCACTTAACGAAAGTGTCTATGTGGCAATTAACAAAAATTAGTATAACTAGAGCACGAGTCCTTGTAAAGTTACGTATTCACGGCGCTGGAACCTTGCTTTGTTTTCTTCCTTTTTGGTCACTACTTGTATATGATTTGTATCCTTGGATTTTAATTTATTGCACTTTGATCTTGATTTTGTTTTTAATTTGTATAATGCCTTAATTTGAGCATTAACTTTAAAATATTTTATTCTAGTCATGTGTTAAATTTTTAGATTGAATCCCCTAGATTTTAGAATTAATCTTCGAGCCAATTCTCACACTTATTATCAGTATAATACATATGTTTTATAAATTGTTCAAGTTTAGGCAGAAAAATAAAACTAAAATAATTTAATTGAATTTAAACCCAAGATCAATTAGTAACCAAGCAAATCCTTAATCAATAGGATAAATCTAATATTTAGGAATCAATTAACAATTTTTTGTATATATTACATATTATGATTAATGATAGAAATAGACAAGTGAGAACATAAATCTAGGCCAATTGAGAATATGATAACAATTAAATTTCTAAAAATACAATATATTATTTATAACTAATTGAAGATTTTAATATTTTTAAATTAAAGTTATTTATTTTATATTTATTTATAATTATTATAATATAAATATTAAATTATTTTTAATGATTATATGTATATAATCAATGAAAAATAAATATGAAAACAATAAATTTAGTTTAAAAATATTAAAATCTTAAACCAATTATTAATATACTATTAGATTTATTTTAGTGATTTAAGTGTTGTCATATTCTCAATTGGTGTATTCAACTATAAAGCTTTATATTTTGACACCACAATTGCTTTCTCTTAACCAAAATGTCATTCACATATTTTGAGCTCAAGGCTTTTAATCTTGTGGTCGTGGGATCGAGTCTCACGGTGAACAATTCATAATTAGAGGTCTTCCACGAAAGCTGCTCTCAATCTGATATTAGAGGCAACCTACTATCCTACCTCCCCTTATCCCATTGAAAATAGGATCAACTAATTTTTTATTCTCATATCATTTTGTCTGGTCAAAAGCAGCAAATAAACTAATAACGCGTCCACCGAATTTCGTATGGTTTTAGTGAAAAAAGAATTGACAAATGGATTATTAAACAAATAATGTATGGGTTTGCACACCAACCACCATGTGCTTAAAGTTGTCTTTGAAAGGAATCCCAGCATCTTACAATTCACATTCACTCTGTTGAACCCCTCTTCGAGTTTCAGCTTTCATCTTTCATCTTTCTCATGGCTTCTTCTGTTAACTTCTCCTCTTGTCAATTCAACAGTTTTCTCTACCGTTCTCCTCGATTGAAGTATTCTTCCTTTCCTTCTCGTCAGTTGAAGTGTTTTCACTCCCCTCCTCGTTCTTCTCGTCAACTCAAGTATTCTTTCTCCCCTTGTCGTCAATTGAAGTATCCTTTCTCCCCTTCTCGCCAGTTGAAGTATTTTTCATCCCCTTCTTGTCAATTGAAGGATTCTTCACCCTCTTCTCTTCAGTTGAAGGATTCTTCCTCTTCTCGTCAATGGAAGTATCAAGTTTTCTTGAGCTTCAGATTTGAAACACGCCGTAACTTCACCAGCCAACTACTCAAAGCTTTGAAAGACACCGGAATGAATGTCTTCTTCGACGAAGAAAAACTTGAAAAAGGGGAGCAATTTTTAGGACAACTTACCCAATCAATTGAAGTCTCAAATCTCTCAATAATCATTTTGTCTGCCGACTATGCTTCTTCGGATGTATGCTTAACAGAACTCTCTCAGATCATGGATCTCAAGCACAATCAAGGACATATTGTTCTTCCCATCTTCTTCCATGTTGATCCCTCCGATGTGCAAAATATAAGTGGCACTTTCCAAAAATCCTTTGACGCCCATGAACCGAAGCAACCACCACCATGTGACGAAGAGAAATTGAAGCAGTGGAAATTGAAGCAGCAGAAAGTGAAGCAGTGGAAAGCTGACTTGGCTCAAGTCGGAACATTAAAAGGAGTTCATATAAAAGGGGACAGGTACCCATATTGTTTCTGCTCTTCTTTTACTTGACTTAACTTTGTTTTCGATTTGATATAGACATTGTTTTTTTGATTATTTGCTAGACCTGAGACTGAGCACATCAAGCATATTGTTGAATGTGCTATCAACAAGTTGATGAAGCATCAGGTTTTCTTGAGCTTTGGTGAGGACACACGCCACAACTTCAGCAGTCATCTTCTCAAAGCTCTGGAAGACACCGGAATCAATGTCATCTCGGATGACAAGACAGAGATTGAAATCTCTCAAGCAATTGCAGCTTCAAACCTCTCAATAGTCGTTTTATCTGAAGACTATGCTGTTTCGGAATCATGCCTAGCCCAACTTTCCTGTATCATGGCTCGCCAGCGCACTCAGAAACATATTTTTCTTCCCATCTTTTACCATGTTAAACCTGATGAGCTGAAACTTGGTAGGAGTGAGAACTTCGCTGAGGTTGCTGACTTACAAGGGTTGATTATAGAAGGAGGCTATTCTGATAGGTAACCACACATTTCATACTCTTATTCCACTTCTAATACTTGATTTGTTTTTGTCTTGACAATCATTTTTACAAATATTTTCCAGACCTGATACTGAACACATTAAAGTTGTCGTTCGAGATGTCATACAAAAGTTGAATCGCAAATCTAGAAGCGTTTCAGATGAGTTGATTGGAATAGATGACCAAAAAGAAACGATTTTGAGACTGATTGGGCAAGAAAAAAATCGTCTAATAGGGCTTTGGGGTATGGGTGGTATAGGCAAAACTACCCTTGTTGATGCTGTTTACAATGAAATCACCTTAGTGTTTGATAGTCGTTGCTTCGTTCATAATGTTAGAAGGCAAATAGAAGATAAAGGGATGATTTCAGTTAGAAATGAACTTCTCACCAACCTACTAGGGAACAAAACTGATATAGACACCCCCTCCATAGGATGCCTTGTAACCCAAGACAGGCTAAAAAATAAAAGAGTATTTGTCGTCCTTGACGATGTTAATGACTCGGATCTAATGGATCTTATGGGTGTAAAATATTTTGGTGAGGGAAGTAAAATCATTGTAACATCTAGAGATAGACAAGTTCTTAAGAATGGAGGAGCTGACGAAATATATAAGGTGAAAAAGCTAAATGACAAGGACTCTCTTCAATTATTTTCTAGATTTGCATTTAAGCTTTCGAATCCTGCTCTTGATTTTCAAGACTTATGGAACAAGTTTTTGGAATACGCCCAAGGCAACCCACTTGCTCTGAAAGTTTTGGGTTCTAAACTATATACAAAGTCCAGAAAAGAGTGGGAAGGTGAGGTGGATAAGCTCAAGGAATATCCCCAACAAAAAATTTCACAGATTTTGAGGAGTAGCTTTGATGAGTTGGATAAACTCGAGAAGGATATATTTCTTGATATAGCATGCTTCTTTAAACGAGAACTCAAGGAAGATGTAGAAGAAATTTTAAGTTGCTTGTATAAGGGTGCAGCGTGTGGAATAAGCAACTTGCTGGATAAGTGCCTAGTTCATATTGATTCTTATGGGCGGATTTGTATGCATGATATGCTTGAAGAGATGGGAAAGGATTATATTCTCCAAAGATATGAACACCCGGAAGAGCGAAATAGGCTATGGAGTCTCAAAGACGTGAATCAAGTGCTCAGATGTAATAAAGTAAGTGCTAATTATATTTATATTCTCTTTTATCATATATATATATATATATGCTTGACAAATATCTAATGCATTACTTAAAAGAACAACGCATGCATTTTTTATTGTTTAAATATTCCAATAATATAATGGTATGCTCGATCAATATAATCCTTTCCTAATATAAATAAATTTGTTTAATGAGTAATTTCATGGAACGTCCATAAATTTCTCTATACTGACCCCTGACAAATTGTTTGTTATTATTAGGAAAATAAATCAATTAAAGGAATAAAGTTTCAGATGACTCAGTCTGACCCACTGTTATCATGTCGTCACGGTTTTGTGAACATGCTTAATCTTAGATACATCGACTTGTCTACCGGGTGTTTGATGTACGAGAAGGATAAGGTACTTGCACACAAAGTTGATAGTGTATCTTTTCCTGATGAGCTAAGATATCTTTGTTGGAGCGGTTACCCCTTCAAATCCTTGTCATCAAACTCTAATCCAAAGAATCTTACCGTATTGAAATTACGTTTTGGATGTATGGAACAACTTTGGAATGAAGATCATCAGGTATTTTTTTTTTCGTTTTATTTTGTTCAAAATAAATAGATAATGCTATGAGGTAATATGGTTATTTTATATTTTCATTGTACAGGATCTTGTTAATTTAAGGATAATTGACCTTTCCCATTGTTTGAAACTAAGGAAGATCCCTAATCTATCAGGAGCCGTTAACCTTAAGAGCCTTTGCTGCCGTATGTGTGAAAGTTTGGTTGAACTACCTTGCCTCAGTCATTTGCCATCTCTCGAAATCCTTGACCTTACTGATTGCGTTAATTTAAGAAAGATCCCTAATCTATCAGGAGCCATCAACTTAAAAAGCCTGAACTTAAGCTCCTGTCTAGAGCTGGTTGAACCTCTTGAGCTCCCAATTAACATTACCCAGTTAAATTTATCACACACTGTAATAAAAGAAGTGGCTGATTCTATTCAGCATCTTGTCGGACTTAGAGAGTTGAATTTGAGTCACTCAAGGGTGAAAAATGTATCGAACAGTATCTCAAAGTTCGAATCCCTTCGTGTGTTGGTTCTTGATTATTGCAAAAGCCTTAAGACACTCCCGGAGCTTCCACGATATTTGTGGTTCTTGGATGCAAGTAACTGCACGTCATTAGAAAAAGTGTCCTTCACCGATGTTAGTTTCAATCCATTCCATTCTTTACATGACGGTGATGGTGCTCCTCTCAGAGAAGACGTTTTCATGCTTTTCTCGAACTGTAGAAGCTTGAATCAAGATTCAATAAAAAACATTGTGGCAAACGCCATGCTTCAAATTCATTCCCTGGCACAGAGATGGGTAAGGAGGAAAGGGATATCCCTAGGGGAATATGAATGGGATTTTTTGTTTTGCTGTTTCCCAGGAAATGAAGTTCCAGAAAATGTGTTTTATTACGGAAGCATGAATTATTCGTTCGATTTGAAGATAACCCCAAATGGGTTTAGTGGGAGCAGATTATTGGCTTTTGCTATCTGCCTTGTGGCTGATCTCACTCGCGCAAAGCGAGATCTTGAATTTATCTGTAAATACCAACTGACCACCACCAGTGGTGAAAAGTTTACGAATGAGTGCCATGTTTCATTGACACAGGACAAGATCTTCCGTTACAAGACTGATTCTAATCCATATTTATGGAATTTCAATTTCATGGGTGATCATGTGTTCATTCTGTTCAATCAAGATATGATTATAATAGACAATGATTATGAGAAGGCATCGTTTGAATTGGACATCGGAGATCTTGACGGAGATGAATTTAAAGTGAAGAAATGTGGTGTTAACATATTTTACATGGATGCAGAGGGGTATACCATTAGTGATGTGATGAGATGGGACAAATCCAACCAGAATTCTGATTGTCAAGAAGATGCTAATATTGAGGGAGCTCATGACGGTTCTGCTACTGAAATAAGACCTGGGGATGAAAGAAGATTTGGCAATGATGGTGAAGAAGGTGATGGAGGGCCTAAAACATTGAAATAGTTTCACTTCTTTTAATCTTTGGGTATGCAACTTCTCATTCCAAATGCGTAGGTAAGCTGTTTTCATTTCTATTTAATTGCTTATGATAGTTGTACATAAAAAAGGGAGATCTGTTAAAAGAGTTCAGGGTTGAATTTCTTTCAATTCAATTACTTATTATGTTTTCTCATTCTTTTGTAGGTGGAGGCTATTTTGAAGGGCATCATTTGACGGATTACATTGTCATATTAGATTGGTGAGCTTGTGTTTAACCTGTTATGTGGCGTTTATCACATGGTATCATTCACCAACAATGCCGACATTGTTGTCTGTGTCATGAATCTCATCTAGGTTGTTTATCACATGGAATTAATCTTTGGTTCTGCATTTATGTATTAGTGGATGTATTTGTCTTTGCTTTGTTTGCGTGGGTGAAAAGGTTTTGTTGGGTTTAGTTGTATAATTCAGGCTTTGTTTGCGTGGGTGAAAAAATAGATGCGGATACTTGCCTTGAGTATGTGTTGGAGTAGGAACCGCTAATACAGGTGCAGTGTGTGTAGAATTCTTTTTATACTTTTGGGTAATTTACAAATTTAGTAATTAAACTATACTCTCTTCTATTCAATTTCTTATGTGAATATAATACATTGCGTTTTTTGGTCACTTATTCATTTCCTAACTATCGACGTAATGACATGGCTTTTTTATTTTATTTTTTTAATGGATAAATTATAAATTTAATTACTGAATTTAACTCTCTCTTATTTAACTTTTTTTAATTAATGTTTGTGTATGCTCTTGAGAAGATGCAACTTCTGGATAATGTCATCCAAATGCATAGGTAAATTTCCGGCTCGAACATTAATCTTATGTCTGATTGTAGTCAATGGTCAGGGTAAATTTGTATATTCAGTTTAGTTACTTTCATCTGTTCACTCAGCACAGAAGTCGATTTATCTCTCTGATTGCATCTATGTGAGTGCCTGGTAACAACAAACATAACAAAGGAACCCGAGACAAAGAGATGTTCATGTGATTAATTCTGTCCACCGTTGTCTTCATCGTAGCTGGGGCTGCTACTTCAAACCATTGGAAATACCGAGAAAGAATTGTTGAACTTTTCACTCCATCCAAAACTGAATATGAATATTACTTACAAGGAGACATCCAAAACTGAATACCAAAAAAATCAAAATGGAGATTTAACCCTCCGTAAAGGATCCCAACAGAAATAGAACAGTAAAAGAGGTCCCATGAAGAATCAGGACAGAGAATAAATATCATGCAGAATCAGGACAGTGAATAAATCCTATGCAAATATCAGAAATGCATCAACATGCAAATTAATGGTGATACCACATTATTCATAAGTCAGATATGTCACGTACATATAAATATATACATATAATCAATTCACGAACATGTTTATAGATAGCAACATATAACATAACATGTTAAATATATCGAATAAGTCAGGGGACATACCTATAAGAGATAATCAATATCGGCTAGGCCTTACGTTTCCCACGATCAGTAGTATTAATCCTGCAGATCGAGAATCTAAAACAATACTCTTCCATAAATGCAGATGCCAATAATCTAAATAGAAATATACTATAAAATCATTAATCTAATACTTACACGTATTTCGACATTATCGAGCAGACTCGACTGAATATAATGAGAGTGATCAGGGTTTACTGGTGAGCGATCTAAAGAGACGAGGATACCAATTTAAATTTGTTGATCGTTTCAATTCTTAAAATCTCTAAATATTCACAAAATTGGTTCTTTACCTTGAATCCACCGATTCAGAGCTTGGTTTATTGGTCCAATTAAATTCCTCTGTAGGCAGCTTCCTGGAAAATACAGGAAGATTGGTATTTTTTTTGACGCGTTTCTGTGAAAAGGAATTTAAAGTCCTTTTATTCGCATCATCATTTTGTCCAATTTCTCAAAAGAGCTCAAACCAAAGCTCTCTTGGTATCTCTTGTCTCTGTCTATTAATCGCAGTATCCATTCTCTTTCCTCTTCATGGCTTCTTCTTCTTCTTCTTCTACTCAATTGAAGTATCAAGTTTTCTTGAGCTTCAGAGGTGAAGACATGCGCCTTAACTTCACCAGCCATCTCCTCAAAGCTCTGAAAGACACCGGCATGAACGTCTTCTTCGATGAAGATAAACTGGAGAAAGGGGAGCAGCTTTCACAGGCACTTTCCCAAGCAATAGCAGCCTCAAATCTCTCAATAGTCGTCTTGTCTGTCGACTATGCTTCTTCCAAATCATGCTTAGCCGAACTCTGTGACATCATGGGTCGCAAGGGAACTCAACAACATACTGTTCTTCCCATCTTTTACCATGTTGATCCTTCTCATGTCCGAAACATTGGTGGAAGTTTTAAGGCATCCTTTGAAGAGCATGAATCGAATAGGCCACTTGATGAAGTGAATCGATGGAGAGATGCCTTTGTTGAAATCGGCAAATTAAAAGGGTGGCATATACAAGGCGGCAAACTCGATAGGTAACCATATACACTTATACATATATTATCTTCTTATATTCGACATGTCTTTTGAGTATTATTTTGTGAAAATGATTTCTCAGATCTGAGGCTGAATACATCAAAGATGTCGTTGAGTATGTCATAAAAGAATTGAATAGCAAGTCTAAAAGTGTTAATAAAGAATTAGTTGGAATAGATGATCAGAAAAAAAAGATCTTGCAGCTAATCGAGGAAGAAGATAGTCGAATAATAGGACTTTGGGGAATGGGTGGTATTGGCAAGACTACCCTTGCTGAAGCTGTCTATAATGAAATCTCTCCAACGTTTCAATGTCGTTGCTTCCTTCAAGATGTTAGAGAGCAAATAAAAAAACAGGGGAAGAAATCTTTACGAGATGAACTTCTTTCCGAACTATTGAACTCGAAAACTTGTGTAGACACCCCCTCCATAAGTTCCGACTTAACCCAACAGAGGCTCAATAATATAAAAGTAATCGTCGTCCTTGATGATGTTAGTGACTCAGAGCTGATAGATCTTATGGGTGTAGAACATTTTGGTGATGGAAGTAAAATTATCATAACATCCAGAGATAGGCAAGTACTTACGAATGGAGGAGCTGACAAAATACATAAGGTGAATAAGTTAAATGAGGAAGACTCTCTTCAACTCTTTTCTACATTTGCATTTAAGTCGTTGAATCCTGCACCTGATTTTCGAGATCTATCGAATATTTTTTTGTGGTACGCCGAAGGCAGTCCACTTGCTCTTAAAGTTTTGGGTTCTAAACTATATACAAAGTCTAGAAAAGAGTGGGAAAGTGAGGTGGGCAAGCTCAAGGAATATGCAAAACCAAAGATTTCACAGATTTTGATGAGTAGTTTTGAAGAGTTGGATGAGCAAGAGAAGAATATATTTCTCGACATAGCTTGCGTCTTGAAAGGGGAATCCAAGAAAGAAGTAGAAGAAATTCTAAGTTGCTTGTATGAGGATGAGGGTGCAATGTGTGGAATAAGCGATTTGCTTGATAAGTGTCTAATTGAAGTGGATTACAATGGGGTGATTTGTATGCATGATATGCTTGAAGAGATGGGAAAAGACATTGTTCGCCGAGAATCTAAAGATCCTGGAGAGCGCAGTAGGTTATGGAGTCTTAAAGACATGATCCAAGAGCTCAAATATAATAAAGTAAGCATTTTTTTTACTTATTATACATATAATGACCAATGTTTTAGGGTATACCATGGAATCTACTCAAGTTTACTGTGTTAGTGAAATACCTAATTTGTTGCTTATAAAATAGAGAACGTATTTGTATTGTCTAAAACTTTCAGTAATAAAAAGATATGTCTGATTAGTCTAAGCGTTTCTTAGTATAATTATATTTTATAATGAGTAATTTTAATGAAACGTTCATAATTTTGTCTGTAACGAAACTCGTTAAATTGTTTCTTGTTATTAGGTGAATAAATCAATTGAAGGAATAAAGCTTTTCGTGAGCCGACTTGAAGACCAGCTGTTACTATATTCTGGTTTTGAGAAGATGCATAATCTTAGATATATCATCCTTTATACATTTCCGTTCTCTGTTACTAGTGTATCTTTTTCTGATGAGCTAAGGTATCTTCATTGGGACTTTTGTCCCTTGAAATCCTTATCATCAAATTTTAATCCAAAGAATCTTGTTGTGTTGAAGCTAAGAGATAGCTTCATAGAACAACTTTGGAAGGAAGATCATCAGGTATTTCATGTTTTTTGTTTTTGTTTTCGATACATCCAAAATAAGTGGATAATGCAATTATTTTATATTTTCAATGTACAGGATCTTGTTAATTTAAGGTCAATTGACCTTTCTGGTTGCACGAGTCTAGTGGAGATCCCTAATCTATCAGGAGCCATCAACCTTCAAAGCCTTTGCTGCAATGGGTGTGAAAGTTTGGTTGAACTACCTTCCCTCAACCAGTTGGTATCTATTGAAAGCCTTGACCTTTCTTATTGCAAGAATTTAAGGAAGATTCCTAATCCATTTCGAGCCATCAACCTTAAATCACTTGAGTGCTATTACTGTACAAGTTTGGTTGAACTATCTTGCCTCAACCAGTTGGTATCTCTTGAAAGCCTTGACCTTTCTTATTGCAAGAATTTAAGGAAGATTCCTAATCCATTTGGAGCCATCAACCTTAAATCACTTAAGTGCAAATACTGTACAAGTTTGGTTGAACTACCTTCCCTCAACAAGTTGGTATCTCTTGAAAGCCTTGACCTTTCTTTTTGCGAGAATTTAAGGAAGATTTCTGATCCATTTGGAGCCATCAACCTTAAATCAATTAAGTGCAATTACTGTACAAGTTTGATTGAATTACCTTCTCTCAACCAATTGGTATCTCTTGAAAGCCTTGACCTTTCTTATTGCGAGAATTTAAGGAAGAATCCTGAACCATTTGGAGCCATCAACCTTAAATCACTTGAGTGCTATTACTGTACAAGTTTGGTTGAACTATCTTGCCTCAACCATTTGGCATCTCTTGAAGAGCTTGGACTGAAGGGATGTCATAAACTTAAGAAGTTTCCGGAGCTCCCAAATAATTTCTGTGAGTTAGATTTAAGGTACACTGAAATACAAGAAGTGCCGGATTCGATTCAGCATCTTGTCGGACTTAGAAAGTTGAGTTTGAGTCACTCGAGGGTAGAAAATTTATCGAGCAATATTTCAAAGTTGGAATCCCTTAACGTTTTGGAACTTGAGGAGTGCAGAAGAATTAAAACACTCTCAGAGCTTCCACGATATCTGCGGTGCTTGAATGCAAATTATTGCCGCTCATTGGAGAAAGTATCCTTCACCGATCATAATTCCAATTCATTCTTTTCTTTACATGATGGTGATGACACTCCTCGTGAAGAAAAGGTTTCCATGTCATTCCTTAATTGCTTCAAGCTGAATCAAGATTCAATTAAAAATATTGAGAGAAACGCGGTGCTTCAAATTCAATCCCTAGCTCAGAGATGGGCAAGGAGAAAAGGGAGGGGTTCTTTTGGAAATCAATTTTTTTGTTGTTTCCCAGGATATGAAGTTCCAGCAAATGAGTTTGAGCATCGAAGCGTGAATCCTTGGTTAAATTTAAAGATAGCCGCAAATGGGTGTAGTGGGAGCAGATTCTTGGCATTTGCTTTATGCTTTTTGGCTAATTTCTGGTCTGCAGACGGAGATGTTGGATTTATCTGTGAATACCAACTGACAGCTGCCAGTGGTAAAAAGTTCATGAGAGAGAGTCGCGTTTCTTGGAGAGGGGACAGGGGCTACAGATACAAAGCTCATGTGTTCATTGTGTTTAATAAGGATATGATTATAAGAGACAATGATTATGAGGAGGCATCATTTGAGTTCTACATCAAAGATCAACTTGGTAGAAAATATAAAGCGGTGGAATGGGGTGTTCATGTATTTTATGTGGATGCAGAGAGTTATAGCATTAGTGATGTGATGTGTTTTGATACAAAAGGAAGATTTAGGTATTGGTGGTGAACAAGGGGATGGGGGGACTTTTCACTTCTTTTAATCTTTGTTTGTGTATGCAGATGCAACTTCACAATATTGCCATCCAAATGCATTGGTAAATTTCCAAATTGAAAACCACTCTTACTTTGTGATTCTGATTAGGGTCCTTAAGAATTTAATTGCTTCTGATGCCTGTAATGCAGAAGTTATCACTATCAAAGTAATTGATAATAGACCAATTAGAAATTAAGACTAATGTGAAATTTTATTTATTAAGGTTGTGATCTATAGTAACGACGGATCCAAAAATAATTTTAAAGACGAGAATACATATATATTAACAACATCGTAAAAATATTTGTGCATGATGGATACAAATAAAATTTCAAGATGGAATTGATCGATATAATAGATAATTAATCGAAGAAAATTTAAATTGCAGGATGGACAACAAGGCATGTATTTGTCACTGTCCTTAAAATACATATGATGTATCTTTGATAATCAATTTATGGATGAATTCAAACACTTTCATATTTAATCTTTTGTTCTTATACTATGACACGATGTTTTATATGACAACCTTTGAACCCTAAATCAAATTAATTTTATATGATTTGAACTTTACATATGAATGTCATGCTTTGACTTCAAATATGACAAGCCATTTTTTATTAGATCATACATTAAATGATTAAACTAACGCTGATTTTGTGGAACTAAAATGAATCGTGCACCTAACCTTTGAAATGTTGTTTGTTTTTCCTTTCTTTTTTTATACTTCTTCATATAATTAAATGTAGAAATATTATAAAATAATGAAGCGTAATTTATAAGTAAACATGACAATGATCTTATCTTTATAAAAACATTTCTTCATAGAATTAAATGCAAAAATATACATCCCCACCCGACTCCGATTCGACCTGAATTTTTAGAGTATAAAGCTTCGACCGATCTGACCCGATAAAAAAATTAAGGATTTAATTTAAAAAATAACAATTTTTTAAGAAAGTTACATTATTATCCTCAAGTCGGGTCGGAGTTTTTTCACCATCTACTCAAATCCAACTCAACCCGATATTGCATCTTAAATATCTAACCCGACTTGACCCAAACCCGATTTTAAAAAAATCCAATCCAGTCGGATCGAGTTAAAACTCGATTAAATTGTCATCCCTAACAATACTCATAAATTGTATTTAAAATCAAACTAATATTTTAGTAAAAGAATGAAATGAATATTAGATATAATTTTTGAAAAGAATAGTAAATGATAAAAATGGAATAAAATTAGATTTTTCAATGGGTCGTTTATTCAAAATTTAATTAGTAAAATCCTAACTTCCAAGCACATGATTACTAAATCAAAACTATTGTCCGATGAATAGAACGGTTCAAGATCCATGCTTTTATGTATATGTCTTATTAGTATGACCTTATCAACAACACTTAAAACTACCAAATCAACTTTTTCATATATATATATAATAAGAAGAAGCCCCATCAATTATTAAACAGCTAAGTCAAACCTTATAGTTCAATTATTCCTTCGTACCATTTATTGGTCCAAGGAAAGAGCTTGATTTTTTGGTCCAATTAAATTCCTCTGTGGGCAGCTTCCTGGAAAATACAGGAAGATTGGTATTTTTTTTTTTGACGCGTTTCTGTGAAAGGAATTAAAAGCCCTTTTATTCGCATCATCATTTTGTCCAATTTCTCAAAAGCAGCTCAAACCAAAGCTCTCTTGCTATCTCTTGTCTCTTTGTCTATCAATCACAGTATCATTCTCTTATGTCTTCATGGCTTCTCCGAGTTAGCTGATATATGCAGACGGTATCCATGTCTCAGGAAGTTCGATTACAAGGGTGATCATGTGTTCTTTCTGTTCAATCAAGATATGATTATAATAGACAATGATTATGAGGAGGCATCATTTGAATTGTACATCGGAAATCCTTACGGGAATGAATTTAAAGTGGAGAAATGTGGTGTTAACATATTTTACATGGATGCAGAGGGGTATACCATTAGTGATGTGATGAGATGGGACAAATCCTACGAGAATTCTGATTCTCAAAAAGATGCTAGAGGTAGCTCATGACGGTTCTGCTACTGAAATAAGACCTGGGGATGAAAGATCTGGCAATGGTGGTGAAGAAGGTGATGGAGGGCCTAAAACATTGAAATAGTTTCACTTCTTTTAATCTTTGGGTATGCAACTTCTCATTCCAAATGCGTAGGTAAGCTGTTTTCATTTGTATTTAATTGCTTATGATAGTTGTACATTTAAAAGGGATATTTGTTAAAAGAGTTAAGGGTTGAATTTCTTTCTATTCAATTGCTTATTATGTTTTCTCATTCTTTTTTAGGTGGAGGCTATTTTCAAGGGCATCATTTGACGGATTACATTGTCATGTTAGATTGGTGAATTTGTGTTTAACCTGTTATGTGGCGTTTATCACATGGTATCATTCACCAACAATCCTGACATTGTTGTCTGTGTCATGAATCTCATCTATGTTGTTTTTTACTCTCTTCATACGATGTTGACGTCTCCTTTGCCAATTCACTTTGTCTTCTTTTTCTGTCGCTGCTGCTGCTGCCGCTGCGTGTGATTCATCGATTGCTTCCTCTACTGCCGCTGCATATGATTTGTCGTTGATCCAAAATTACTGCATGTATCTGATCTCAAATTTGACTCCATGACAACGGAGCTCGTCGTTCCATTTGTCGCTGTTGTTTGTACCACAGTTGTTTGTACAAAAGTACATGTGTACCAATTCAGGGAAATAAGAAAATATTTCTTGACATAGCATTCTTCTTTAAAGGGGAACTCAGGGAAGATGCAGAAGAAATTCTAAGTTGCTTTTATAAGGGTGTAACGAGTGGAATAAGCAACTTGATCGACAAGACTCTACTTCATATGGATTCTAATAGGCAGATTTCTATGTATGAAGAGATGGGCAAGGATCTTGTTCGCCAAAAGGAAGATTTGTGTAAGAGTTACGGATTGAATTTCTTTCTATTTGATTGCTTATTATGTTTTCTCATAATTTTGTATATGGAGGTTATTTTCAAGGGCATCATTTGACAGATTCCATTGTCGTGCAAGATTGACAGATCCCAGACACTAGAATAACAACTTTGAAGGCAGGAGTCGTTTTCTTTATGTATAGAGCATTTGGATCTGATGTTTTATTTTCTTGGATTTTCATCACCATAACAATTTCTTTGTGTTACTGTGTCTGCGAAGGATATTTTGAAGTTTATTATGTTCTCATTCTTTTATAGGTGGAGGCTATTTTGGAGGGCATCATTTGACAGATTACATAGCAATGCTAAGAACAGAACAGCTTTGAAGTCGAGAGTTGTTATATATATATATATATATAGAGAGAGAGAGAGAGAGCATTTGGGGTTGATGTTTTCTTTTCAGGATGTGGATGTTGCTGCCTTTCAAGTTTGAGAATTATTGAAAACTCAAGTCGAATTTCATTTTATTTTCGTTGAGCATGGAATTAATCTTTGGTTCTGCATTTATGTATTAGTGGATGTATTTGTCTTTGCTTTGTTTGCGTAGGTGAAAAGGTTTTGCTGGGTTTAGTTGCATAATTTAGGCTTAAGGTGTATTTCACTTTATCATTAATAAAATATTTACGCCAAGCAAAAAAAAATGCGGAGACTTGCCTTGAGTATGTGTTGGAGTAGGAACCGCTAGTGCAGGTGCAGAGTGTGTAGAATTATTTTTATATGTTTGGGTAAAGTACAAATTTTGGTAATTAAACTTTACCCTCTTGCATTCAATTCCACCGCTGTCTTCACCGTGGCCGGGGCTGCTACACCAGACCATTGGAAATACCAAGAAAGAATTGTTGAACTTTTCACTCCATCTGGATCAATCATCAATAGGCCAACTGCCCGACTTCAAATAATCACGCAGATCGTTCTTTAATGCCTCTGAACAATTCAGGAGTTCTTCGACCTGTTTCCGAAGAGATCCTAGAAACACAGATTGAACAATGGTACCATTTGAAGAGGTCAACCTTCCAGTCAAGACAGCCTCGTTATAGGACAATGCAAGCTACAAAACACAAGGATATGGCATATGTTAGGGATATGGTTATGCGACCTATGGGCCAATATGGATAATGTTGAAATATTTCAAGAAAAATGACGGAGTGCTTAAAGAAGTTACGGAAAAGTACCTTTAAACTGGAGAGAGAGAATGAGTCGCCAACAAGAAGATCGCTGCTGGAGACCTGCTCTGCCAATATGCCAATGGTGGTGTACAAGGATAAATAGACCTAAAAAGCAGAGAGAGATATTAACAAAGATTATTACAAAGACATTCACGTATTGAGAAATAGACGATAAGAATACGTAATACGGGAAGAATCATATACACGTCTAGAAAACTTGATCTGAACAAACCACTATCAGTATGCCAACAAGTTGACTTATTTCCAGTTGACATTGTAATGTAGTTGACCAAAATCCTATACAAAAGATGAAGAATTGACAACTAAATCAGACTATTACCGGCAAAGCCTTGACTTTTCTTATTGCACAACCAAAGATTTCCCAGATTTTGATTAGTAGTTTTGATGCGTTGGATGAGTCGGAGAAGAATATACTGTCAGACTAAATGAATTTGAGTCAGACTTAGAAAGTTGAGTTTGAGTCACTCCAGGGTGGAACTTGAGGAGTGCAAAAGGCTTAAAACACTCTCAGAGCTTCCACGATATCTGTGGTGCTTGAATGCAAATTATTGCACATCATTGGAGAAAGTATCATTCACCGATCATAATTCCAATTCATTCTTTTCTTTACATGATGGTGATGATACTCTTCGTGATGAAAAGGTGTCCATGTCATTCCTTAATTGCTTAAACCAGAATCAAGATTCAATTAAAAACATTGAGAGAAACGCGATGCTTCAAATTCAATCCCTAGCACAGAGATGGGCAAGGAGGAAAGGGAGGGATCCTTTTGGAAATCAACTGTTTTGTTGTATCCCAGGAAATGAAGTTTCGGCAAATGAGTTTGAGCATCGAAGCGTGGATCCTTGGTTAAATTTAAAGATAGCCCCAAATGGGTGTAGTGGGAGCAGGTTCTTGGCATTTGCTTTATGCTTTTTGGCTGATCTCCGGATTGCAGACGGAGATGTTGGATTTATCTGTAAATACCGACAGCTGCCAGTGGTGAAATTTCATGAAGAGAGTCGCGTTTCTTGGAGATGGGACGGGGGCTACAGATACAAAGGTCATAATTCTGGGAGCAGGTTCTTGGCATTTGCTTTATGCTTTTTGGCTGATCTCCGGATTGCAGACGGAGATGTTGGATTTATCTGTAAATACCGACAGCTGCCAGTGGTGAAAATTTCATGAGAGAGAGTCGCGTTTCTTGGAGATGGGACGGGGGCTACAGATACAAAGGTCATAATTCCTTAATTGCTTAAACCTGAATCAATTGTTTTGTTGTACCCCAGGAAATGAAGTTTCGGCAAATGAGTTGAGCATCGAAGCGTGAATTCTCGGATAAATTTAAAGATAGCCCCAAATGGGTGTAATGGGAGCAGATTCTTGGCATTTGCTTTATGCTTTTTGGCTACCAACTGACAGCTACCGATCATAATTCCTTAATTGCTTAAACCTGAATCAATTGTTTTGTTGTATCCCAGGAAATGAAGTTTCGGCAAATGAGTTGAGCATCGAAGCGTGAATTCTCGGATAAATTTAAAGATAGCCCCAAATGGGTGTAATGGGAGCAGATTCTTGGCATTTGCTTTATGCTTTTTGGCTACCAACTGACAGCTGCCAGTGGTGAAAAGTTAATGAGAGAGAGTCGCGTTTCTTGGAGATGGGACAGGGGCTACAGATACAAAGATTGTGTGTTCATTGTGTTTGAAGAGGATATGATTATAAGAGACAATGATTATGACGAGGCATCATTTTTCTGCATCAAAGGTCAACTTGAATTTCCAAATTGAAAACTACTCTTACTTTGTGATTCTAGTTAGCGTAAATTTGTACATTAAGAATTCAATTGCTTATGATAGTTGTATTTCTTTGTATAGGAGGCAGTGGTGGTTTTTTAATTCATAGAGTCAGTAGTTGACTTGATTCAGCTCCGTTGCTTACGTTACATGGATTGGGCAGTAAGTAGTCATCTCCACCACACTGCATTTTCCTTCAATGATTTCTTCACCCCTCCATCTATGTTTTCAACTGTTAATGTCTTCATATTTCAGATATTAACTTTGGAGTTACCATCAAAATCGGATGCTCAAAAGCTTTAGAGTTGAGTGCTTGTTGGAATAATTGGAGGGATTGCAGCAGAAAGAAAAGTCGAGTGATTCTAATATAGAGTAAGTCAGCAATATAGCATTCCATATCACTTCACAGTTGGTTTTCTGGTTCATGGCCATTTCGTTCACTATTGCAGTTCGGTTCTGGTTACTAGGCCAGCAATTCGGTCCACTGAAACAGCGAGAAGTCGGCATTCGTTACTTGCAGCACAAGCTTATGCTGATTCTGGCTTCAGTGTATGCATATCATTTCACTGCTCAGCATTTGGAGGAGAAATATACAGAGATGAACAATTTGTTGCCGATGTCCATGCACTTTCTGCAGGCCTGAAGTCCTATGTAACATCATATACAGTAAAGTCACTGAGTACCTGAAGGGAAGCTTGAAGAGGCCACGCATATGCCGCTCTCAACCGGTTTGGCAGCTTGAGGAATGATCACAACATTTTCCAGACGTCTGAAGGAAACAACCCAGTACTTCTGCAACAGGTTTCGGGCAAATCCCCTTAATAACAAACCTTGCTTGAAAACTTGCAATGGTTTTTTTACCCCCAGTTTTCCTTCATTCAACCTCGAATTTCCTTTTTGATTCAAACTTCATAAGGCTTTTTACTGGGATATATATAGTTAGCTGCGGATTAATTGATGCTATACAAAGACAAGTTCCCAGGTTGTAAGCGATCGGTCACATGGAACTACTTGAGAGAATCTATGAATACATACATCGAAGCTGTACAGAAGTACTTCCTAAACTCTGAATTGAATATATTCCTTCTATTTTCTAGTTGTCATAGTTTGTGATGGCTGCGTCTCATCTTCATTCCCCTGTTGAGTCCGTCTTCTTCTTCTGTAGGTATATAATAGATTGCTCTTGACATACTCTACGAGCGAGTATATTAAATTGTGTAGGTATGGTGCCCTCATTATGAGATTATCTTATTACAAATGATTCGAAATGAGATTTGATATGTGCATCCAATTTTAAAACGATTTAAAATTTATTGACGGTTTCAGTAATTTGATATAACATCTTTAAGATCTCTAAATATTCTATGCAGAGTTTAAGGTGTTATAAAATCAATTGTCTGCCATTGACTTTGTATGTTATTGTTAACGAAGCAACTTCTACGTAAAAGGATTTTTGAAATGAAGAAAATGATTGTGGTGGGGGTTTCTAAGGTCCACAAGCATATGGATTAATTTCATGGCTCCACACGCATATGCATGATGGATGTTTCATATCAGAATTATGATCTTTTTGCCTCAACCACACAATTTATGTTGACAATTGTTGCATGGCATTCTAGATGGCACGAAAGTTGACAAATTGTTGTATGGCATTTTACGGCTGAAATTAGACAGCAGTTTTTGAATTCAAAGTGGGCAGCAAATATTGTTGAAATTGGCAAAGGAATAATTATTAAATTGAGTCATTGAACTTTAGGGTATTTACAAGATTACTCGTTAAGCTTCAACTATAAATACACTAACCCATTTAGCTTCAAAATCATCCCAAATCATTCATTTCTCCCAATACTAAAGAGTTTTGAGAGTTTTCTTGTGCGTTGTGAGTGTTTTGTAAACACCTGTAAATTTTCTCTCTTTAGTAAAAGATCTGCAGTAGTCCGGAGACGTAGGCATAATTGGCTGAACTCCGTTATCAATTTCGGGTATTATTTTTCCGCTTTTATTTCGCATTCTCACTAATCTGGTTATAGGGAAAGTTGACAAATTGTTGCATGGCATTCTAGATGGCCGACTGAAATTAGACGACAGTTTTTGAATTCAAAGTGGGCAGCCAATATTGTTGAAATTGGCAAAGGGATAATTACCAAATTGAGTTATTTAACTTTAGGGTATTTACAAGATTAGTCCTTAAGCTTCAACTATAAATACCATAACCCATTTAGCTTCAAAACCATCCCCAAATCATTCTAGCTCTCTCTCAAGTGTTTTGTAAACACCTGTAATTTTTCTCTCTTTAGTAAAAGATCTACAGCAGTCCGGAGACGTAGACATAATTGGTTGAACTCCGTTATCAATTTCGGATAT